ATCCCCGCCTCGAAGGGGGGAGTAGGGCGGGAGGGAACTTGTCCTTGACCTGGTCTGTGGCGTCAGGGATTTACGCCCTTAATCCTGGAGAGGCGGGAGTTTGGGGAGGTCCGGGAAGCTGAGTTCGGGGCTGCAGCCCCCCACCTCTCCTCACTCCTGCGAGGACAAAGGGAATCCTGGAGGGCTGCCGGGACGAAGAGGCTTCGTCTAAACGGGGCGCAGCAAGGGAAGTCCGTCTCTCTTCCATCCCGTGCCTGGGAGAAGGGGCCGAGAGCCAGGTTGTTTCAGAAGGCAGGGATTCCCGCGAGGACCGACCGCCCTCTCCCGTTTCTTGTTCAGATTTGGGCATTTCGCTCACACGAAATGTTAAACAGGTGGGGTGCCGTGGCTCATGCCTGTAATCCCAGCACTTTGGGGGACTCACTGGAGCCCGGGAGTTTGAGACCAGCCGGGCAACAGATCAAGATCCCGTCTCTACAAAAAAATTAGCTGGGTGTGGTGGCTCACGCCTGAAGTCCCAGTCACCCGGGAGGGTGAGGCAGGAGACTTAAGCCCGAGAGGTTGAGGCTGCGGAAGGAGAGCCGAATCGTGTCACTGCCCTCCAGCCCGGACAAGAGTGAGACCCCCGACTCAAAAACGTCCATAAAGAAAAGTTGAACACTGAGAAGAAGCCTCACTTAGGAGTTCCTAACGAATCGCCTTTAGTAGGAAGAGTAAAACTGCAAGAAAGGTAAAGGCAAAACTGGCAGCCCCAGCCGGGCGAGAGTTCCAAAAGATTCGACTGTTTCCTCTTGGGACCGGCCGCCGCCAAGGTGGCCGAGTTTCGGGAGTCACTGGATGCCCTACGCTGTCCCTCCGCTCAGGAACAGACGACCTGGAGACCGTCGGGAAACCTTTGTTTCGGGTCACCTCGCGCCGAGTTGCCCCCGCCCCCCAGGCTTGCGGGATGGGGGTGACAGTGCTCCTGTCATGAGTGTCTTGGGAACACTGTTTCGTTCGATCCTCCCCGTGCCCCTCTGGGCGGAGTGTTAGTATCCCCCACTTTGCGGATGGAGCAATGGAAGTTGCGGCGAGAGAAATGACTTGCCCAAGGTCACTCGGCCTGAAAGCGGCAGTCCCGGGCTTTGGGCCCCGGGTGCCCCCAGCGGCGGCGAGCGCTCCGCCGCCACGCGCTGACCGAGCGCGGCCGCGGGGCTGGGCTGCCGGCGCCGCCTCTACGCGCCCGTCCGCGATGTCCCTTTCCGAGGTCTGGGAAGCCGGGGCCGGCGGGTTGGG